AGTTTCTTTAAATTAATATATATATATTTTTTTAGATCGGAATTTTTTTAGACTACTCTCGAATTTTGCCTGTTCGAGTCAAATATTTGACATCAATATAAAATTACAACTTAATCGCAAGGAACATTTACAGAGCGTCTTAATTACAATTAATAACTAAATAGAAAAATTAAGATGGGCTATAAAAATATAAGAGTTTTGGCCACGAGGTTCAGAACAGGTTATCTAATTAACTGGGGATTGAATTGCGACGAGGCCGCGCGTCTTAACGGCCAACTCTCCAAGGTGTTGCTGCAGTAATCGTTTGTTGACTTTTATTCTGTTAAATTAATAAAAAATAATTAGTCTTAGAAGATCAAACTTTTGTTATTCGACCTACTTGATAATGAGTGATACGTAACGTAGCTTTTCAGCCTCGCTAATGAGCTCAGTGGGAAAATTTGGTACGGACATTACATTCTTTAGCCAGACGGCCATTTCAGCTGGATACTTTTTGTTAATGGACAGAAATACATCGGCAAACTTTTCAACTTGCTGTCGCGGTGTCATGTAGCCCACACAAATCATTGCGGTTTGTATGATCTGCTCACCGGAGGCCAGCATCACTTCGGTCATGTGTTCATGATTTCTCGATTGCATCACGAACTGAGTTACAAATTGCGTACTAGCCCGGATGGGTCCATTCTCTGGCAATAGCATAGCACGTTGTGCATAATAAATTAGGCGATCGTACGCGATAGTTTTGTCCTCCAGCACCTGCGGCACCTTCTTAACAATTTGTGTCAAACAGGAGAAAAACATTTCCATGGTGTCAGAGATATTCGAGAAGTTTTGCTGGGGCGTGTTCTCAAAGAGTTTGAAGCTATGCTGGATAAACTCCAACAGCAGCTGCTGCATCATCGGTTTGCAGTTCTCCTCCCAGAAAAAGATGACAATGGCCTGAAAAAATGAGAATATATACCAAATCTTTATGTATTACTGATGTATTGTAGACGCTAACCGTTTTCGATATATCCAAGGTGGGTGCACAGCAGCGAGTTTGAAAGCTTGCAACAATAAAATAGCATAAGTCCTGCAACATTGGCTTGAAGCTGCTTCTCAAATTAACTATGGCATGTTTCAAGGCGCTGCAGGCAGCCTGTGGAAATATAGTTTTAATCAATTGCAACATAATATAGAAGCTGGATAGGCACCTCTAGCACATCTATTTCCTCCACCCACACTTCGGCAATTCGTCGAAATATTGGCATTGTTTTTTCCATAACTAAGAGTACTGGCTGCACATTGTGCGCATCTTTGAGCTCATCATCCAAATCTGTGTTAAGTGATGAAAATAACGTGGATATCATGTTGAGGCGAAAAATAGTCCGTATGCGCGCTGCTGGAGTTGTCTACATATTATAAAAAACGATTAAAATAGTATATTAATAGAATATAGTATGTTTTGTCATATGCTTACGGTGCCCGCCTGGCAAATGCTCTGCAGTTCTTCGAAGCAGGGACTGACTATGATATCCAGGTATTTGGGTATCTGTTCCGGTGGCAACAAACTCATCAACTTTCCAATGCTAAACATTAAACGCACTGAGTCTGAATTTTTCATGCGACCTGTTACGAGCGTAGCTTGACAAGCATCGAGCAGTGGTTCAGCATACGGTTTCAATTGCATTTGACAATCGCGGCACAGCTCCTTGAGGCCCAGCGTAGCCTGTGCCGACATCGTAGAGTTCAGACCCCGAAGTAGCAGATCAATAGCCGGTGGTATATAAGACGGATTATCCATTAACCAAGAGCAATAGGACCCAATCGTCTCGAGCGCAGTGCCCAAAAGTTTCACGTTAAGCTTCTCATACGGGATCTCTGAGAGCACGCGCATTAGCTTGGGTATCTGTCGAGACTCCTCACCGCCAAAGTGCTCGGCCACCGATTGAAACGAGTATATGCAAGCCTCGAGCTTTGTCCAGTGGGTGGGATGTGCTTGTAGCTCGACAATGGCCTCGTCTAACATAGCTGCTAATATCTCTAATATATAATCGCCCAATACGTCATAGCAATACATCTGCAGACGATATGAAATATAAGTATATGCGATATATTAGTAGTAGACTCGATGCTTACAAACGTATCGGATATATCCTGGCGATAGCAGCGAAAGCATTCCAGATCGTCCGAGTTCCATTTATCAATGGAGCTCTCGTCGGGCTGCTCGGACTTACGAACCAGCACGGTGGTCAAGTGTGCGTATAGAGGTTTTATATGCTCCCAGCATTTGTGCTTCTGCTCGTCGGGCATGGCAAACACATCGCCCTGTAGCATATACCAAAAGGCCAATGCCATAGTGCTGCATGATTCTTCAACGGGATAAATACCCGGCTTGTCTGTACATTGCAATATCTCATGTACCATGCGACTCCATATTGCAGATAGCTCTGGATCTGTGGTCGTAATGCCGCTCAGGAATAGCCCCGAGTGTCGCTCTACAGCGGCCACAAACAGCATGTAGATGTGCACAATGATGTCCTCATTGTCGTTGTCGCGCTTCCATTCCACTTGTGTAATGTCGCACAATGAGTCTAAGAACATCTTGATCAGCACTGCCGCCGTCTTCGGATAGTTGTGGCAATCGGGCTGAACTATAATGCTGACCATTGCGCTGAGACAAGTTTCCGCGAGCTCGTTCTCGTCGGCGGACATGCATCCAACGCCCGAGCGAATGCATGGCCAGTAACACTTCTTCACCACCTCAAGCAACACGGCACAGATACTAACGCAACCTTCAATACAGTAGCCAATATTTCTACAATAGATTTACCCGTGGATGAGTATTTAAATACATGCTCAAGATCAAAGTTAATTCTTACCTGATCCACACGTTTACGCACTTCACTGCCCGCGTCATATTGCTGTAAGCTTCGGAGTCCCACTCATTCCCCATTTGCTGCTTCAGAAAGGTTTCAATCGTCTGCAACACGAGCGGAACACGCTTTCCAATCTCGCCTCGCAACGTAACCCTCTTTACGGAGGTGTGAATCACCTGTGCCTCCTCGGGTATCCCCATCAGTACTTCCAACATAATCCATAGCTGAGCATCGGCACTAACATTCGGCATACGTTGACTTTGGAACGTCTCAATTACTTCATCAATGGCGCAGGGCCACTCCTCGAGCATGTGCACGATATAGGCGCTCAACTGCGAGGGAAAAGTTGCTATACAAATTATAATTATAATATAAAAAATCTGACCTTACCGATAGACATAGCCGGTTAAGCACTAGTTTAGGGCCAGCGGCGAATTGCACAATTGTCTCCAAGATCTTTTGCTTTAACTCTTCACGATTTTCGGGCGGCACTTCGTGCCAATATTTCATTAACTTCGAGTGTAAAGTTATTGCGCCAAAAAATTGCACTTCTTGACTCTGTTGTTGTTAAAGCAAAATTGATTTTCTTCAGGTGTTCAATTAGATACTCTATCCCCCACCACCCCACTTACCTTGCCCAACTGCATGAGCTGCCAGGCGAACTGCCAGGCCTGTGGGCTGGCCTCGGCCTTCGTCAGCCATTCGTGTGTAATTGCCTGGTCCTGCGAGTTGGATCGGTAAAAGACAACCACTGCCTCCTCCAGGCGAGCAATATCAATTGTTTCCACGTTTTCCATACTCAGCTATTTCAACTAGATTCAACTAGATTCTTGTATAGCCCAAGTCCCAGCAATTTAGCAACAGGACTTGGCTTTTTCAATTATTTCTATTTGCAAAAATGAGCTCCCTACGCCTAGAGGTGGCCAATAATTTTAATGCATTCACAATATCGATAAGTCAAATTGAACATAGGAAATCTATACGATAATGAGTAGAATTTACAGGTAATTTGCACATATCGATTACTTACTGCCCGGTCGATTTAAACTTCTCGGCTTTTTTTCCGGTCCCTGTAAGTTTTAGCAGTAAAAGTAATTGTATAGTTAACGAATTGTTAAGATTGGGCTCATTCTCTTTATTCGCAGTAATGACTTCACGCTCAAGGGCGTAAAACGATCTACAACGATTGAAAAGCTCCGTTCGTAAAGTTAAGTAAACCGATAATGGGCATCTATCGATTAGTTGCCGGTCAATTCAGAACATGTAGACTGCGTGATTAATATTCACGGCTCCTGACAGGAAAACAAAAGGAAAAAACGTTCAATTCTGAAAAATTGAATTAGTAACAGTAATATAATTTTCCGCTTCATTAAAATTCAGTTTCTATATAGGACTTACTCTCCCGATCTGCAAAGAGAATGAGCTGGAATTAGTGATCGCTTAGCAGACAAATCTTTCATATGTTGAGATCTTTCTTTCTTCCATTAAGCAAATAAAAATATAGGAAATTTTTACTGGCTTTACATTTAATACAGAACACGATTGAAGTTTTAAGCTATTAAGGAAATAAAATATATATTACATCATTCTGCTTGTAAGAACACAGCTCCACATTTTTTGAAGTCCATCATTCAAATTTGAATGTATGCAAGAAGCTAGAATTTTCAATAATTTAAGTTTCTGAGAAATTTTTCCAAATGTGTTTATACTCTTTATTTTTGTATTATTAATGATGGCTGATGGCTTAGCTTACTCAATTGCGCTAAAGACTTGGTCTACTCACTATCGTTGCGATATATAAAAAAAAAAAAAAAAAAGAATTTTGAAAAGCGGGTTCCACTTTCCCAAATGTAAAACTTAGATATATAATTGTCAAAAGTGTGAAAGTACTTTTATTCTAATGTGGCAGTATCCTCAATGTAATATTTGCAATGGGCCTAGTTTCTCAGAGATTTTAATGGATATATTTTTAAAAGAATTAAAGACTTCGCAAAGATTGTTAGAGATATTTGCTTAAGATTATTCAAAGCTCTCGCATTCATTCCCTTTTTGGCCACTAGGGATTTATGTCAACGGTTTTGTTTCAGAGTTGCCACATGGTTTTGCAGTGCTATAAAACGTCAAGACAATATTGTTTAGAGCACTTACAGTCCGCATGGAATGTAAACAAAGTCGCTGTAAACAGAAATCGCATATTAATAAAGAGAATGAATTAAGATGGCCGTCTCCAAGCGCTCGTTGATTATCGACAACGGATCGTATGAATGCCGGGTAGGATGGAACAATAGCAAGAAACCTGATCTGCGATTTCGCAATGTGCTGACCAAGCCACGAAAGGATCGCAAAAAGGATTGCAACCAGATGCCTGACTCCTCTGCAGCTCCGGCAACCCCTGTAGACGAACTGAAAGCAAACGCCGAGATCCAAATTGGGAATGATATAACCAACATTGAAGCAGTGCGAGCCCATCTCAAATCGCCATTCGAGCGCAATGTGATCACTAATTGGAATCATCAAGAGCACATCCTTGACTACATCTTCAGCAAAATGGGCTTTGATGGTGAGACTAGCATCGACTATCCCATTGTCTTAACCGAAGCGCTGGCCAATCCCAATCCGAGTCGCCGCCAAATGAGCGAGCTGCTCTTCGAGTGCTACAGCGTGCCGGCGGTCTCATATGGCATCGATGCACTCTACAGCTGGCATCACCACCAACAGCAACATAAGAAAGTTGTGGATGCACTTATTATATCCTTTGGATATAGCACGACGCACGTGATTCCCGTGCTGGGAGGCAAGATGCAGCTGCAGCACGTTCGTCGCCTTAACGTAGGCGGATTCCACATAAATAATTATTTGTTTCGGCTGATGCAAATGAAGTACCCAGTGCACCTGAATGCCATCTCGAGTCGCATCGAGAAACTCGTCCACGAGCACTGCCACATTGCGCAGGACTACAAAGAGGAGCTGATGAAGTGGGCGCAATTAGATTACTATGAGGCGCACGTTATGAAGATTCAATTGCCCTACAACCAAGTCACGGCGACCAATGCACTGCTCACAGCAGAGCAGAAGCAGGAGAAGCGCCGCGAGCTAGCGCTGCGACTGCTGGACATTAAGAATCGTCGGGAGCGTGAGAAGCTGCAGGAGGATGAGGATTACCTGCAGGTGCTACGCAAGCTAAGGCAGCTCTACGAGCAACAGAAACTGCAGAAATTTGAACGGGCACTGCAGCAGCAGCAAATCGCCAATCTGGAGGAGCTGGACAAGCTGTTGGGCACGATAACAGCGCGTATTAAACGTGTCAAGGAGCGAGCCACTGCCCAACCGAAGCCAAGTAAGCAGCAAGATAAGCTGGACAAGCTGCCAAAGCCGCCAGAGGGTGTGCCGCAAGCGCAGTGGCTGGCGGATCTGCGGGAAAAGCGAGATCAGTTGCAGCAACGTAAGCAGGCACGCCAGCAGCAGCGACAGGAGCAGGCCAAGCGGCACACGCATGCTGCGCAGGAACGCATGAGGATTATCTCGACGCTGGCTCGCAGCGAGAAACGGCGCAAGGCAAACGGCGGGGATGAGGAGGACGATGGCTTCGGCATGAATGACAACGACTGGGATGTGTACAAGCGAATCAATCGCTACAACGACGACAGCGACTCGGATGCAGAGAATGAACAGATGCTCGAGTACGAGAAGATCTTGCAGCATTACGACGCCAACTTCGACGATGGCAGCAACAATGCGGCCATGCAGGCCCTGATTGCAGCCGAGAACTATCAGCTCCATTTCGGAGTTGAAGCTATCCGGGTGCCAGAGATTCTCTTTCAGCCGAGCATGATTGGGTGCACGGAGGCTGGCCTCGCCGAGCTGATTGCGTTTGTGCTAAAGCTCTTCACGAGCGAGGAGCAGCAGCGCCTGGTTGATCACGTCTACCTAACGGGCAGCTGCGCCCAGTTTCGTGGACTAAAGGAACGATTGGCTAAGGAATTACTCGAGCTGCGTCCCTTTCAGTCCAGCTTTGCCATCTATGAGTCTAATGAGCCCATGTTAGGCGCCTGGTTGGGCGCCTGCCTCCAGGCGAACGGCAAGAGATTCAGTGAGACTTTGATCACTCGACAACTTTACCAGGAGCACGGCGGCGAGTACCTTAAGGAGCACAGTGCGAGCAATCTCTTCTATCCTACACCAAAAGATTAAATTTTATTATTTAAGACGTCCAAGTAAATGACATTTAATAACTAAAATAGTAGCTCAGTTACTTCGTTTCCGAACAATAAATTCCAGGACTTGGGCACAGTTAGCTTAAAGCTGCCGTCGCCGCCATCACGCAGCTGCAGAAAGTCCTCACAAAGCTCATTCAGTTCGCGAACAATCAGTGACGCGTCAGTGGAGTTGTCGCCTTCCAGAAGATAGCGGAAGAGCAGCATGACTGGCACCTGTTTCTCCTCAAATGCCCGGAATAACTGCAGGCCATTGCCACCGCCAAAGACGTGCTCGCCGGTGTGTTCCTTCCACTTCACCAGCGATGTGCTTCCCTCCAGCTGTGCGGTGTGGGCGGCCTTAAAGTTGTCACTGGCACGGTAGGCCCACGGCGACTCATCAATAAAGCGTCGCTCGAAGCCAAAGCTTCCGCTCAATATCACAACCCGACGCGCTGCTTGAAGCATTTCCACTAAATTGGTTTGGAAATTTTTTGTGTGTCGCGCAATGAGCGGTGTGCGAAATTGTATGACCAGTAGCTTATCTTCGGCAGATTCATACAGCTCACAGGATGACACCAGCTCATTTGGTTCATGCTGGTATGCGGATGGCCCATAGACCGGAATCAAAGCTGAATGAGACAGGTTTCCTATGCGCTTTAACTTTTTCGATGCGATCAACAGGTCGCAGGCTAATTGGGCTGCGTTGCCCACACAGATGCTGGGTATGATCACGGTGTAATTGGCCACGTCTAACGATTTGGCTTTGTTTTTAAGATACAGCATATTTCTGAAGTGGATTTGTTCCGTTTGATCCATAATATTGAAATTCAACTAAAATATGAAAGTAATGTTGCTGTGTTGTGAAACGACAGAATATGCCGTCAAATATCGATAGGTTTCTTGACTATCGCCATCAGAGCAGCCCTGACTCTTTGCTATTTGTGTTTCTTTTTTGTGCAAATGCCCGGCTCTTGAAGATTTAGCGGATGAAAACATGTCCAACTCGGTTAATATATCCGTAGAGACGACGTGCGAGAACCAAATACGTGAGATCACTTACGATGGCGTTGAGATGTACCAAGCGTGAGCTACTGAAAGAAACAAAATCGCATATATTTTTTTCTCAACAAGTTGCTTCATAGGCCGCCGACGCTTTCAGAGAGTCTTGCAAAGTGCGCGGCACGCATAGACTTCAGCAAAACGTCGTTGGATGATCTAAAGAAAGAGGAGAAGTCAGCTGCTGCAGCAACAGACGATGATAAGGATGCCAATCAATTTCAGGAAAGCCTTTGGCCCTGGGATTCAGTGCGCAATAAGCTGAAGGATGCGTATACTGAAATCTGTGTGCTATCCGATGTAATATCAATTGCCAAGGATAAGCGTTACCTAGTACTGGATCCACTGCTGGAGAATGGTGATGATACAAAGCCCATTGTGCAAGTGTACAGTCGAAAAAAGGCCCTTTCGCAGGCTGCTCAGGTGCTGTTGAGCGGGGCCGAGCGGCTACGCAATGCCCACAGTGAGCAGCGTAGTCGGAACGTATCCGACTTTCACATTGAGCTACTGCGTCTGCGACAAAACTGGCGCTTGAAGAAGGTCTCCAATGGTGCGATCATTGGCGATCTAAGCTATCGCACAGCGGGCTCCAAATTCGGCATGAGCGGTACTTTTGAAGTGACCAAAGCGGAGGAAGTTCTGGACGACGAGGGTGCCGGTAGCAATACAAATTCTTCCTCCGGCACAAGCAGTACCACCACCAACAATGGAATGCAGCTCAAGGCAAGCTCGGCGTTGCGCGTAATTGTGCCTGCCGAGCTGCAAGGCGTGGCATACATTAAGGTCATCACACAAAAGGATCAGGAAGATCTTTGCACGGCACAGGTAGGTAGTACTTACTTTTGTCCAATTTAATACTTACCCCGTACATATATCCCAGGTAAACCTAATGGGCCATGGACCCAATATAACTGCCCAGGTGGGAGTTTGGCAAAAAACACTGGAGTTTGCACAGAATGTGCTGTTTTGCAAGGAACTGTTTGCCCAGCTGGCGCGCGAGGCCATTCAGCTGCAGGCGCCCATACCCCATGTAGTCATTGGCAATCAGATTCGAGCTACATTGCTGCCCAATATCCAATTAATCATCTCACTATGCCACTCGACTAGCTTCGACTCGAACCAGCCGGCGCCAATTAACGATCACGATCATGTGTTGGAGCACTCGCTGCATCAGCTCTTGCGGGAGGTGCACTTTAAGAACTCGCATCATCCATTTCCACATCCGGCCAGCGCACCGTTGGGACCCAGCAAGAAGCGTATGATTGCGGGGCCAACAGCAGCGGATCGGGAATCACTATTGGAAATGACCAAGACGCAGACAATATTAGAGCAAATTATTGCACAGGCGCAGCACATCTTCATGCGCAAGCGCACTCAATATGTGCTGGATACGCTGGCGCGCGACGTGAAGGATCCGCAAATCGTGTCGCATTGGAATGCTATGAACAGCCCGACAATGTCCTGCGTCAAGATCAACATTGTAACACATGGCTACGATGCTATCGGCCGCACTTCGCTGGTCATACACGTGAAGGAGCGATCGCTGAAGTGCATCTGCCGCGATGGGCGCGTCATGAAACTGTCGTATGAGCCACAAGAGCTGCGAGATCTCATACTCTGCCAGATCAATTCCCATCAGATCAGCTGCCTGGTGAGCTTGGCCCGCTACATGGCCTGGACAGTGCTCTCAAATAGCAATCACTTGGGCATTGGCAAAGTGGAACCGCTTGGCAATGCGAGTTCTTGTTTGCTGGGCTCGCCCAACAGCGATCGCATGATTGCCGTTCAGATACGCTGCGATCCGCAAATCGATGTCAAGGTCTACATAGCGCGCAGTCCCCGCCAAGACTTCTTTCCCAGTCCCCTGGTGCCGGAGAAGTTCTGGGAGAATCTGGGTGGCAATTTCAAAGAAGTAAGTGAGTGATTTACTGAATTTATGAATGTACTAACAGCGTCCCATTACAGGTGCGTTTTGATAAAATCGAAGGAAAGAGTTTTCTGAATAAAATGGAATTCCTGATGGCATCGCTGACCAGCAACACCACATGAAAAGGCGCAGATATTAGTTATCTTATATATTATTTATAATTACTAAAGAAGTTATTTAAGTAAGCTACAGTATGTACAAGTAGTCCAGGCTACTCTCGATTAAAGAACACAGCTCAGCGCTGTATGTTATAAACCGCAAAGCTGTTGAGTGGTTGCGTCTGCTGCTGTTGCTGCTGCAGCTGCAGCTGTGGCTGCGGCTGCGACTGCGGCTGCAGCATGCTAAATGTGTCCTCTAGGCTAATAACATTGGCGCGATTTGTGCTCTGTAAAATGAATGTATCAGATCTGTAATTCGTCTAAAGGAACATCAACTCACCCATCGCTCGAGATCGCAAAAGCTAATGTCGTATTGCTGACTAGTCGCAGTGGGAACTGGGCCCAACATCGATGCCGGCCTTGCCACACGCAAGTACAAGCCACGGTTCGTGGAGAAGAGCACCGGGACACGTCTGGCTGGCGCTGAGCCGGCAATGAAGCCGGCGCCTGTCACTTGTCGATAGGTTAGGCAATTGGGCAGCGCTGTCGTGGACTGGGCATCTGAGTGGACGTCTGGAGCGGCAGCGGCAGCCACGTTGCGGGCACATCCCAGGCAACTGTAAAAACAGGACGCCACTTTGGCGCATTGACTTCGTCCCAATGGCTAGCAGACGATATGCGCTCAATTGTATGCCTACTCGATATAACAATGCATATTTATTGATTTTACTGGCACGCAGCCGACATTATCAGCACCAAGTCTGCAAGGACAGTGGTTAACCAACGCAATTAACTCCCTAGCAGATTTGTGTGGGCCAGCTAGCACTCGCTCGGTTGCCACGGCGATCGACTCACACTCAAATTAAAATGTTCACACCAGAGCTGGCGACTGAGCTATGAACCAGTTCAAGATTTCATGGGGAAGCAGTGAGGACTAACGGTATTACGTGGCTCATATATCACTCACTGTTTGCTAGTAGATAGGCAATTAAAAATGTTATATGTACAATTACAACATAACAAGTTCTGCATAACTGAATGATTAGCAGTAAATGGATTATCTATCGTTCATTAGCGACTGAGAACATCCATAGCTCCGTTTTGCCTGAGTCAATCATTAAAATATTATTAATTGCAACGAACCATTAAATTTAACTAGTTCTGAACATTGCGACGCAACTCTACTCCATATACATATATGTAAATACCTAATCGGCTTGTGCGTGTCCACGATAATTTCGTCTCCCCCATATAAATTTAACGCGCTTTCTATACAATATTATGAATCCAAACAGCGCAACAATTAAGAGATCATACTGATGAGATATTACCAATCCCTGCCGCTTAATCTGTTCCACATTTTCTTTAAGTGACACTGCACTATGGGGAATTTTGCCGTTTTTCGGGTATTTAGTCATTTTTGCGAAGTATGAAAATTTATAATTTTTTTATGTTAACATCTTAATAAAACTCCAAACTTTAAGGTACTGTACCCAAAATGTTGAATAACAGTCCACTGTTAAGCCTAACAGCTGTTAAAGTCAGCTGTTATCTTCGAAAAGCATTTGCCTTCAGC